AGCAAATCTCCAAGTCAGACTAAGTGTGGAGCAAGACCTGAGTCTCCTGACAAGCAATCCCCACGGCCCTGGGCATCTGCACCATGACAGATCCATTTAATGTAGAGATCTTTGCAGGCGGACTGCATTATTCTCATTTAATGAGAAGGGAATGAGCTACTGAGATGGGAAACTACCTGGATGTACACCTAGAACATACAACCAGATGCTCCAATCAGGACTCCAGCCAGAATTTCCAATCCCACCCACCAGCCCCTTCCCAGCACCTCTCATGGTTAGAAAAGCAACTAGCTTTGAGCCTGAGAATGGCTAGGTCCCTTCTTCCCCAAGGGTCCTTGCAGCTTCTCTGGGAGCTGCTGGGATCCACAAAGACCAGGGTCTTCATCCTAGAGGCATCAGCAAGCACTGGCTTTTCCCTGTCCTGCTGTGAAGCAACCCAACCACCACTCCAGGCAGAAAGCAATTTTTCCTCGTGCCTTCCCCAAAGCAAAGTGGGTAATTAATTGCACTGAATAACACATTAAATGTACTAATAAGTGGGTAGTCACAGCAAAATGATTACTTTGAAGAAATATTACTGATTCCCTGTTGTACTTAACATTTCCCCTTATTTATCATTACCATCTTAATCAATAATAGTCACAATACTAATAAATCCATCTTAATTTTAATTGTTTTCAATTGGATGTACCAGTACTTGAGTATTCTGAGCATACTTCATTATTTATATTAATTTAAGATCACTTAAAGGCAAATTACATAGTTTGTACTTCCAAGCAGGTAGGTAATTATGACAAAGTTTCTCCAGATTCAGCATTTTCCAACACTGAGCTGCATACAGTGTCAGACATCTGCTCTTTTTTAGGGGCCAGGATCAGGAATGGAGAGGATGGGGAAGATTTTTAAAGCCTTCACTTGAATTAGCACATTGTGGCCTTTTAGAAAAAGCTTAGGTCTCTGAAAGTAAAACGAATAGCTCAGTGGCTTGGCCCTTACTTATGCTGTCTAGATATTAATGCAACATTCACCTTCCCATTCACTAAGAGCAGAGACCAGGCCTGGAGCTAGGCACCAGGAGACAGGGAAATAAAAAAGTAAGAGAGTTTTACTGTGTCCCCCTTAACAGAGGTTTTGTAAATGATGATAGTCATCAAAAAGCAGAAAAGGTAAATAGCATGCAACCAAAGGAATGAGGTGGAGAGTTGCTTCTGGAGGTAAATGAGGCTGTTCTACCACTTTTCTTCAAGGGTCTGAAGGGTGTGGGGAGGACACCTTTCTACATTGTTGGTGGGAATATAAACTGGTACAACCACTATGAAAATCACTATGGCGATTCTTCAAAAACCTAAAACAAGAACTTCCATTTGGCCCAGGTTTTCCCCTTCTAGGAATCTTCCCAAATAAAGACCTCATATTACAGTGATATATGCATACCCATGTTTATAGCAGCACAATTCATAATAACTAATCCTTGGAAACAGCCCACATGTCCACCAACAGATGAACAGAAAAAGAAAATGTGGTATTTACACATAATGCAGTACCACCCTGCCATAAAGAAAGATAAACTTCCGTTTGTAGGACAATGGATACAACTTGAGACCATAACGTTAAATGAAGTAAATCAGACACACAAGTTTAAATATGGCTTGGTTTCTTTTAAATAAGAAACCCAAAATGTAAGAAAAGAGCAAAATAAAAGATAACAAGAAGTAGAGAGATAGATCTTTCTCAATGGGAAAAGGATCAAGAGATGGGGGAGGGGAGAGGAAGGGAGGGGAAGAGGATGAAAAAAGGAATCAGGATGTGTTATGTACATGTACCAGCCCCACACAAAGAATGTAAACATTATGTACTGCAAACATGGACTAATAAAAAAAAAAGATTTGGCAGGAAGTGGGGGAGTGGATTCCAGCTTTGGCGGAGAGCCAGGGAGATGATTCAGCAGGCTGAGGTTTCCAGTGGTAACAGCAGAGGTGGCAGAGAAGAAGGCCCAGAAGAAAGAACCTTAGCAAGGGCAGTGTTGGCCTTCAGTGGTGGCTTTGAGGGCACCATTAGGGGTTAGTGGTGCCAGAAAGAAGGAGGGAAAGTAGCAGGAGGGAGCGTGGTCTAGGAGGGAGGAAATTGGATTTGTCAGGTACTCGCTCAGTATGAGGGGCCATGCAGCAGCCAGGGGCAAAACTAGCAGGTAAAGCACAGAAGCTGGCTAAAGCCCAGAGGAGGGGTTGGCACTGAGAGGGCCTGGGCCTCCTCCAGAAGGCAGTTTCATAGGAGGGAACGTGGTCATCATAACCTCTGACCAGACAGCTTCCTCTCACAGGTATGCACTGATGTGTCCACAGCCCCACGGTTGACGGCCCCCCTGGACGGCCTGGCCTAGGAAGCGAAGCATCTCTGTCCCTTCTCTACCCAGGCCTGGCACACGGGGCAAATCTTCTGAATCAAACTGTATCCAATCAGAGCTGTAAGACCACAGTGTTTTTATGGCTAAAGGTTGTGGGTTCGTCCTGCCACCGTCCAGGGCAAAGGCAAGGACTCCAGGGCCCACAGCGGTGGTGCTGGGAGAGGTGGCTATCAACAAGGGTAGGTGAGTCTCTGTCTCTGTGGCCACTCTGGAATTGGAGTACCGAGGTCCTGGCACCAGCAACAATTTGCTAGCTGGTTGCAACTGGTGCTCAGGATTTCAAGAAACCTCCAAGTTATGAGAGAGAAATTTAATGGGAAAGAGGCTCCACCTCCTGGTAGTAGTCAAAATCAATGTTTTTCGGCACTTTACAGTATATAAGCTTAGGTTGATTTTCAAATCTCATTTAGCTCTGTATCTTGACCTGGGTGGTGGTTACCAGGTGTCAGCGTACATTAAAAACCACAGAGATAGCAGCTAAGATTCATGCACTTCAGTCTATGTCAGTTATGTGGCAATAAACAAGTATAAATAATATTTTAAATAAGTAAATATTTAGCTAGTTAAGAGGGTAAATAAGTAGCATCTCATTTAATTTTTTTTCCCCTTTTTTTGGTACTGGGAATCAAACTCATGACCAAATGCTTGCCAGTTAGGTGCTATGCCACTGAGCTGTATCCCCAGCCCTCATTTAATCCTCTTAATCAGCCCATAAAGTTAGCAAATTTATCATCCACAAGTGAAGGAAACTGAGGCTGAGCAACTTGCTGCAGATCCATGGCTGATGAAAGGAAAGACTGAGAAGCCAGAATGGCCTGATGTGAATTGCTCTGGTCCCACTTAGACAACAGGCCCTGGGCCTGGAAGAATTTAAGAGGGGCTAATCCTGGTGCCAAAGGCACCACGGAGTGTTTGGGGATGCAGCAGCTGTCTCCACGTGCTCTCCCAATACCTGGCACCTGGGTTTGGCCTGAGCAGACATTTTTCTAGGAGCACATTTTTGCTTGGACCACTGCTCAGGATGGGCAAAGTCACAGCCTCTGCATCTCTGGAGTCTTCCCCGTTGTTCACCACTAGTCCCCAAAGTTCCCCTGCAGGTTTGTACGAAATAAGTAATCCAAGATAAAACCAGCCTGAGGTTGCCAACAGGTTAGACACTGTGCTCTCTTGTGCATTAAAAAGGAAGTAGCTACCAAGCACCAGAAGCTACCCAGGCCTGGCGTCTTTGGAAAGGACTAAGAAGCTAGTCTTCCTCTCTACCTAATGTGGGAACAAATTCTTCAGGAAAGAGAATAGAATGTAGTAATAGAAGAATGTGCAGTGTGGGAATCCCAAGCAAAAAGTGACTGAGTATGCTGGGGGAATCAAGGAAGTCATCATACAAGGAGTGAGTCTTGAGCTGGGCTTCTAAGCATAAATACAAGTTTGGTGGGATGTGAATTCCAGGCAAAGGGCACAGCATACATTAATATGCAGAAGACAAAGAGCATCAGAGGCAGGGAAACGTTAAATCAAGAAGGGACTCGGAATCTGATTCCTCTTGTCTACGCACAGGAACTCCATTCAGAGTACCCCTGGGCCTCACAGTTTAGACAAAGACTGGAGAAAAAGTGCCTCTGGTCTCAGTGGACCTTTACAGATGTTTACAGTCCAGATGTGGCAGGCTTCTGTTCTTGTCCTTCAGGGTACATGGACACCATGGCCACTGTGGGATTCCTGAATGCAATTCCACAAAGCAGTAGTAATTTAGCATTGTCTTTGCTACTCCGGTTTGCACCCTCCCCCTACTACTCTGCTCAGCACTGCCCACTCAGGAACTTGCCCTCCTCTAGGCTCTCAGCTCACCCTTAACTGAAAAGGAAGCCAGGTTTGTGTATTTAGTTTTCCTGTCCCAACTAGCATGGTAAATTCATGCTTGTGGTAGTCCTGTGCAAGTCATCTAGTGTCATGCTCTGGAAGCAAGACTGAAGGGCCTGACCTGCCACATCCTACAGGGGCACTATCTAGTGATGCCGTTCACTTGGTTTATAGTATTGTCTTTAATACTTGGGAACTTTTTCCCCTCTCTCCAAGTTTCCAGAATCAAGATGGGACTGAATCTCTGTCAGGTATCAGCTTTCAGTGTGATGAATGGGCTCTTGATTTCTGTCTCCATGTTGGGAAGGTCCAGACTCCCAACTGGGGTGAATGATCCACCTGGGGAAACGGCATTTGACAGAGGGAGAGGGACTGACCCACAGCTTCCTGGGGGCCGCTGGGGATCAGGTTACAGACAAGTCGGGCAGGGGTAGGGGACACATTTTTTTTGCCCAATTTGGACATTTTTGAAACGATATTCTCCACGTTCTCTGGCACAGGGATTTATTAGGATTCCAGCAACTGCTTCTGAAATAAATCAGATTTGTGACTTTATGTTCTTTCCCCTTCCACCCATCCATCTTCAATGCAAACAACTTCTCCCTTCTTAACTTGATCTACCCTGGGTTGGACAGAGACAGGACAGGACCTGTGGTTTGAATCGGAGTTCAAGTCTCTCCTCTTTACCAAGTTTATGATGGGGTCTTAGGCAAAACCCTCCAGGGAACCTTTTACTCACCTACAAAATGGATTTAAGTGCAGCTCCCTCGAGACTGGTCAATTTTTCATGTATTGCCCATGACACTCACTGCGTCACACTCCCCTCCTGAGCATACAGAGGTGACTGTAACCTGCCCCAAGTCTCTGGAGCTTACAGGAGAGAATGAATGTCTTGTTGCTCTGTAAATGACGGCCCCTGTGTCTCAGTCACCGCACTTGTATGCCGGTCTGACATCCAAAATGCTTGCAGCTAGAAACCACTAGGATAATTTAGATTGAAGTCTTTGGAGTTAGACCTGGAGCGCTTGCCTGTTTGGTGAAATCCTTTAGCTCTCTTGAGCTTCGTTTTTTCATCTACAAAATGGGAACAAGAACAATTTCTCCTCTGAGAGCTGTTGAAGGAATACAGTAGGTGAAAGGATGCACCTAAAGTAGCTTGCAGAGCCAGCTGGAATATAGTAAGTGCTCAACAAATGTCAGTTATTATTACCAGGATGACGACGATGATGATGACGACGACGACGAGGTCTGGAACGGAAGCTCGACCAAAGCATCCCCAAAACACTTTCCTCACCTGCTGAGGGGGGGGAGCTGCCGCTGCGCTGGAGCACTGGTGCGCGTGGCCACGCGCACTCCTCGTGTTTATCCCTCGAGGCTTCCTTTCGGCGTCTTCTTCCCCAGCAGCTGCTCTGTCAGCAGGCCATATGCTGCCTCGGCTACGAAGCAGCTTTCGAGACGGGGCTGCCAACCCCGCAGGAGAACTTTGACGTTCAGTTCAGGGGCACGCGAGCACTGTCAATCACGCCGCTCCTGCCAGTCTCTGGCTTCATCTCCACTCCAGCCTCGCCTGCGCCCTCTGTGCCCGCTCGTGGGCCTGGGCGGGGAGCAGCGAGCAGAGGGGCCGGGCTCCGGGGAGGGGGTGCGCGTGGCAAGGAGGCCAGCTGGAGGAACAGGAGGGGACAGATGCCACGGGGGCCCAGATTTCTTTCTGCAGGAAGAATGCAAGGAGCTAATTGTCTCATTACCCAGGAGCAGTTTCTCCGCGGCCCCGCCACGCCTGCGGAAACTCTTCCCGGGGTGGGCATGTGGGGCCATGGATGGGCTGCTCTGGGAAGGAAGGGAGGCCAGCCTGAGCTGGATTTCCGCCAGGGCTGCGCTGCAGGGTAAGCTCTAGCTCTGGGCCCTGAGCCTTGGAAATGGTGCTTTGCAAAAATTCAACCCTAGGCTCCACATCATTCAGCTTAGATCGCTGTTGGAGGAAAGTCTACCAAATGCCTCCCTGGCCCCCTGCAGTACTCTCAACGTGAACACACACACACACACACACACACACACACACACACCTGCCTTTTACCTCGTTTACCTTGAACAGAGATCAAGTTTCAGTCCATTATTTAGAAACTATGAAGGTCTTTAAGCTCCAGCTTGTTCTTTTCTGGGCTGGTTCTCAGCCCAAGTGGACTCCCAGGCCTTTGCCGGGCTGGGCCCTCCACCCAGGTGCCCTTTGTACTCACATGTCTATCTGTCGCCTTCTGTGCCAGTTTTCAGGGCCCATTCGGAATCCACCTTTTCCCTTAGTTTTTGTTACATGTGCTTTCTGCCTTTCTGCCTCTAGTTCAAAACTTTGTAAGATGAAAAGAAAGGCAAATGACCTGTGTCCCTTACATAAGAGATTCCACCCACACTCTGCCATCTCCATCTCATAAGTGACAGCCAGGTGAGGTAAGTGGGCAGGATGACTGGTTGACTCCAACTCGCAGTGTCCTCGGGTTGTAGATGGGAAGACGGTTTACAATCCGCCCGCACATGCTGGCTACACCCAGGAGCTCTAGAAACATGGGTGACTAGACCAAGCTTGTCTGGCAGCTCTTGGAGACATGATTCTGAAGCCCTGCAGCTGACACTTCTGGCTCACCATTCCCAGCTCCTCTACCCCTGCAGAGAATTCTGACTTTCTAATCTCACATCCACTATAGGTACGAGTGTGTCAGTAAGAACAGCGCACGGTTGCATGTGGGGGAGAGACAGTTACTGTGTGCTTAACCAGATCATAGGTGCTTATTTTTTCTCCTGTAACAGTTTTGCACAGCCACCTCATAGGTGCCAGATGGCTGCTCATTCCTAATCTCCCGTTTGTATTCCAGGGAAAAGGAAAAAAGAGGAAAAGAAAGAAGGAAGTAACAAGATGGAAGGGGTGGTATGAAATTTTCGTTCATAAGTTACTATACTAGAAAGTAAAAACTTTACTGAAATGCACCACAGGTTTCTACTTGCATGTTTGCCAGAATGGGTCACATGACCATCCTCAGCCACTAGGGAGGCTAGAAAACATGGTTGTTTTGTTGGGCTTATTACTACTCCAAACAATATCAAGATTGCATTAATAGAACAAAACGGAGAATGATACAAACATGTGGTTATTCTTTAAAGCGTACCTCCATCACTAAAAGAATGTGCTCCAGAAAGTCAAGGGGCATGACTATGCTCACAGTCGCACCTGCAGAGTAAAGCGCAGTGCCAGATTCACAGTGAGTGGTCCATACATATGTGCTATATGGAAGAATGAATAGATGAATGCTAAAGTCATCACTATTAAATAAAGCATTTTAAGCTCTTGATGGGCTTCAGTGGCAGGCCCCTGACTTTTCTACACATCTAGCATTCAGCAGAGTTTAAAGGTCTCTGCCCCGTGGTCTCTCACAGTGGCCCCCTGGGTTCTCTGTACATTACCTGGGTAGCTCCCACATCCACTGTGTAGTTGCGATAAGTCAAATCTGCAGCATTTCTCTGGGTTATCTGGGCTATAACCTACAAATTTTAGTTCATAAGCTAATAGCTGATTATGAACCATGAGATTTAAAAAATTACCCCATGTTGACATATGTCATCAACAACTATTCAGGATCAGATGTGGCCATGTGTAACAACTGACTGGAATTCAAATTTTAATGTAAGCGCTCATTGCTTGATATACACCACTTTGAGGAAACAGTAGTTTTATACCTCTGTTATGGTTTGTGTCTGGATGTCCCCCCAAAACCTCATGCAGTCAAAGGGTAGGCTTCTAGAGTGTATGATTGATTCATAGCTCAACATTGGAATTATGGATGTGAATGCTACACTTGCCCTGGGGCAGATAGTTTGCATACAGTGTAAGGGAGGTAAAGAGGCTTGATCTTTCAACTGCCTCTCCTCCCTTTTGCTCTTGTTGCTTTTGTTATCTTCTGCCATGAACTGTTTCCCTCTGCTGCCTTGGAGCCAGCCAAGTATGGACTGAAACCTCCATAGACTGTGAGCTAAATAAACCTTTCCTTCCTTAATTCTGGGTGTCAGGTATTTTGTCTCAGCAACGAGAGAAAAGTAACCAAGACAACCTCTTAGAAGAAAAGACATCTACATAGATAAGAAACCCCTCTTCATAAAATACTGTAAACTTGATAAATGAATAGAAGCATAAAATTTAGCCACAAGTACTCTCTTGGTTGAATAGGTTTTAAAATAGTTAAAGTGGTTTTTATAATGACAGAAACTAGGACACCAAAGTCAGATCCGGAAACTTGTAAAAGAAACTACATTTCAAATGCTGTTTTGAGGGTGGAAAAATGATTTATCCTCAAGTGAAATCTCTAGGAACTGGTTCTGTGGGCTTTAGGAGACAAGCACAGCACAGGCCATTCTAGAAAAGATCAAGGGAGTTTGACATCTTCCTCTTTCCCTAGCATCTCAGAGCACAGGGTCAGACCTGGGAGTTCTCTACATTCTTAGTAGCACCCAGTGACAGTATTGACTTACCCCATTAACTTAACCCAATAGTCGCACTTTCTTACAATACATATGAGAGTTCATTGAAACATACACTGATTACTGAGGAGGTTCTCATTTTGTGAACCTCAGTTTCTTCTCTGCAGTACAAATAAAAATAACCATTCTGTGTACCTTTTCAGTGTGATTGTGAGGATTACATGAGAAGAATGTGAAGCAAGTTAACATATTTGTTATCTCATATCAATATCTATTTTTTTATTTTAAAGAGAATAATAAAAAAAATAGCAAAATGCCAACATTAACAAAAACAAAACAAAACAAAAACAATAAAAATGATGCAGCATTTCAGAACAAAATGATAGGAATTGACAGTGGTTGTTATATTACATACTGCTATCTTCAACAAAGTTGTTCAGATTACCAGATGTAAGAATGCAAGATTGATCAAACCACTAAAGAGAATAAAAAATAAAAACAAGAAAACATTAAAATGATACAGAGTTTCACTAAACAAGATGGTAGGAATTCACCAGTGGTTGTTATATTCCTACTGTTGTCTGCAAATTAGTTGTTCAGATTATCAGATATAAGCATGCAAACTTGGTCAAAAAGAAAAAAAAATTAGGCACTAACTGTTCCTTTGAATAACCCACTAGATTTCCACTAATTTCCACAGTGGTTGCACTGATCCATTATCCATTTTTTTGTGTATTTGTTTGATTTTGTGGCAAGAGCAGCTAAAATCTACTCACTTAACATGACTCCCATATGTGAAAATATCATGCCAATGCTAACACTACATCAGCAAGGACTTTTAGGGTCGATAATGCTTTTTCAGAGAAGCACCCTGATGGGATTGTCTGGATCAGATCATGCATTCCTACCACTCAATGGGAAACACCCATTTGATTGCAATGGTCTGCAGGCTTAGGATCATTTAGTATCAAATAAGGAAGGGATGTCATCAAAAAAGAAGAACTAGAGATCTGAGCTGTCATTCCACACCTGCCACTGTCCCATTCTCTGACAATGAGACACTTATTTTCAAGCTATGAACCTGAGTCTTTGATGGAGACCACTACAAAGAAGTCTTGAGCAGGACTTAAATTAGCCAATTGACTTTTTATGTTTACTTGTGAATCTTTTCAAATCGTAGGCTGCTTGTCTGGAAGTGGCGACAGATTCATAGTAAGTGAACCTCTGTGAGTCACTAATCCCTACTAAAACCTGTAAAGGTAGATGAAGGCGGAAAGCCTCAAAGGATAAGACAAGATCGCAGCCAAAGACACTTGGATCCAATCTCAACTAAATAAAAACTATAGCCTCCGGCATCTCACTCCTGGGTGGATTAACTTAATCCTTAATAAAGATTAATTTAATACCTTACTTGGAGAAGTCCTTGAGTAGTTCCACCCTTCTTGAGTACTCCCTTCCCTTCTTCTGATAACCAAATAAATATGGGCCACCCAGAGAAGTCTTGGTCTTAGCCCTGAGAGAATCTCAAATTCTGTGAGGGGGCTTTGATCATCCTGGAGCCCTGAAATCATTCCATTTGCCTCTTTTTATTTAGCCTTTGCTGTACACTCATTAGAGAGATTGCAGACCTGATCAGCCCGCAATAATGAAGGGATATTATTAACCCAATAAGTCTTTTCATCAGAAATATGGGGTCTTAGACTAACTACTCTCTGAGTGCCCTTCAAACACCAGCCTAGTAATTCTGATGCTGCAGAATCTTGAATCTATGAATGGGGCAGGAGATCCTTTGCAGCTGCCCCTGTCCTGCCTTGCCTTGTCAAAATTTCTGACCTCTCAGGGTTGCTTTCCTGTCAACTGAGAACCTTTAAATAAAAAACCCTGAAAGCAGCCTAACAAAGAGTCTCAGAACAAGGCTACAATGCCACTGTGTCTCAAGCTGTGAAAGAGTTGTTGCCCACCCAAAGCCTGACAGTGGGATGTCAGGGTGACATTCTATACCTTCATCAAACAGCACCAAAAGCCTGCAAACAGGTGCTGGCTTGTTAAGAGAAATAATTTCTGTGGCTTCCCACTCTGACCACATTAGTCATTCAAGTGTTGAGGAACAATATAAATTCCTGTCATCACTGTTTATGTGACCACTAAGATTTATTCCAAGTGACAGGTCATTAAAGTTTCTTCTCTTTATTTTTTCCCAGATTCACTGAGAACTCATATTTCTGCCCCATGTTATGGACTGCTAACAGTTATGCTTTTGGCCAGAGAGTCAGCAATAAATCTGAATTTAATAAACTGACAAAAGATCACTACTTCATAGATAGTCCAAGCCCCATTCCTCTTCTGCTTCTACACAAATGCTTCTGTACTGAGATATCTTCCCCATAAAAGCCACATTTGCCGTCTAAATAGTCATCACCACCACCACCACCCCCGTAGATGTTTTGCTGTTGTCAGTTTTTCTCTGCTGTGACCAAATAGCTGAGCAAAACAATTTAGAGGAGGGAAGGTTTATTTTGGTTCCTGGTTTCAAAGGTTTCAGTCCATGGTCATTGCTAGGGGCATTCAGAGAGTCAGAAGCATCATGGTGGAAGGGCTTGGCAGAGGAAGGCTGCTCACCTCATGGCAGCACAAAAGGCAGAGATAAGAGATCCCCAGAGGGTGGGCTGAGGACAAGATACATCCTTCAAAGCCGTGCTTCCAGTGATCTGCTTCATCCAATCATGGTCCACTTTCTAATAAGCCCATTCAACTAATGAACTTATCAATGGACTAATTCACATGTTAAAGTTAGAGCCCCATGATCCAATCACTTTCTGAAAGCCACACATCATGTAGAATGTAGAATGTAGAGTTTTTGTATTCAAAATGTTTCAAA